GCACTTGTGGATTATTCCAGTGTCGCTTCCTCCAGTACACGTTGACCAACTTTAGTAGTTCTCCCGCTTTTTTTGGTTGGATTTCTCTTTATTTTCTTCCTTTCATATAAATTTAACTTCTTTGTTTTGCTTTCGTCTCATTTCCGTTGTCTTTTGAATTGTTGCTGCTGTTATTGTCTTCTTTTTTTTCATTTGCGTTATCTTCGCCGAGTTATGAAAAACAACTGTATACGGAGTATCTGACCTTTTCAGAGTAATCCCCACAGCGATACCTAGGTTAATAATTTGCTTTTGTTCGCTGAATAGGTGGATATAATTTCTACACGGCGTTGTTTCTCTAAGTTGGATTCCTATTAACTAGCACATGAGCACCATGTCGGTAATTTCGCCCAATCGACCAACCAAGCCTTCAGTTCTAACGTAGAATCTTACGTCTCCTTTGCTGCTATTGATATCATTTGTAGCACTTTCCGGTAGATGCTTGGTGCTGCTTATGGAGTTTTCGTCGGGTTGCTGGGTATCGGTCAGTATCTGTTACTATTTCCGATTTAGTAATTCATCATATGAATCTGAACTTTTCTAATGCCAATATCTTCTTTCCCTCTCTAATGGTTATTGAGCGTACGAGTCAAGATGCTTTCTCGTCTGAAGTGGGAAATGTTATGGTTTGACTTCTGGGTACAGTCATAACATGTGCAGCTAGGGCATACGATCCGAGACCAAGCTAACTATACTGCCTGTTGCGTGAGACTTGTCGGCCCCGCCCAGGAGTGCGGGTAGTTCTTTCGTTCCCGTCCGTGCATGAGGGCTAGGTTACTGAGCGATTTTTTCCTGAATTGGGAGTGTGTTATGATTTAAGCTTTGGGTGGAGTCGTAACATACCGATACGCTGCTAGGCAATCCGATTACTCGAACCATTTATGATGAGAATATGACCTAATCTGAAATGGTTATTCAACAATTTCCTCTCCTTTATTATTTCCATCCCTCTTCTTTATTTCTATCCCTCCCTTTATTTCTATCTCTCTTCTTTAATATTAGTATTCCTCTCCTTTTTACCTTTTCGTTCCAAAGCGTGTCTCGTAAAATCCATGGCTCTGTGCTCTGTTGGTGTATATCACGCTTGAATTGCATCATTACCCGCAAGCCACCACAAAGGTAATAGCAAAGAGGGGGGGAGAAATCCTTGTCTCTAGTGGTTGAGATGTAGAACACTATCCTTTAATTATTTTCCATTTTCTTTCTTAATTTATTTTTAACTTACCCCATTTATTATATTTTCTTTATTGAGTTTGGTCAAGTAAACTTGAAAATTCATTTGTTCAAGTGCGCTAGATAATGACTCACAAACTTCCTTTTACTTTCTTATGAATTTGGTTGGACTTTGCATAATTGGCAAAGACACTATGCTGTGTATATGGTTGGGACAGCTTAGACTTCTTTTATATATATTTTT